GAAATCGTGGCAGTGTTATTGTCATAGAGTTCCTTGAAGAAAATGACAACGGCACCAGGGGCCATCATTTTCTCCAGGACGTGTAGGACCCAGGGGACAAAGATCGATGGGAAGGCGGACTCGAAGTCCGCGAGGACCAATCCAGACGTGTACCGATCTTTAATATGCTTCCGAAGAATGAACAGCTCAGCTTCAATAACATTCACAATCATGTCCCGACCCCTGAAACATTTTTGGGGGCTCCGTAACAGGTTAGATAGCGCAACTTTCCTGGATAATGCCCAAGTTATAGAAGCAGAGAGAAGCTTGCAATCCGTGTTCGTTATACTAAGAGGTCGCGTGACCTGAGGCTTTCGAAAGACACCCTCTCCGATCTCCTGTTCAGTGATTTTCTTGGGGAGGAAAATCATGATGGCACTTTTCATGTCATCGGGGATGCTCGAGGTCGGGTGAGTGAACAGACGGCAGTAGCACTCATGCAGGGCGTTCCTGGCAGCAGGTACCCTCCAGGCAGAGTAGGGAATGCCGTCCTCCCCAGGCATGCTGTCCATCTTATGGCGTATCAGGTCATCCCACTCAATCTCTCCCAATATCCCTCCCTCCTCCTGAAGCTCGTTAAAGGTGGCGTTGGCAGGGGCAGACAGCGGCTTGATGAAACGAGAGAGCTCAGGCCAAAGCGAGGTGTCCACCTCAGGGGCTGCACAAACTCCCTTCCAGTGCTGCAGAAGAGCGTCAGCAGCTTCGGTCTCTGAAGAACTCGGTGCATCCGTATCCGAGAGGGTGCCCTGGAGCCAGGTGCGTCGCTTCATTTTCCTCCAGAGCTCTTTACGATTATTGACCTTTTTGCGGGCACTGTCAAGGGCATCCTCAGAGATATTCGCAGCACCTGCCTCCAGCTCCCGCTCTTCCTCTGCGAGCAAAGTGATGTGCAGATTCTGAGCATGCTGGCAGAGAGCGAGAATGCGGGCATCGCGAAGATCAGGGGATGGAACATGTGCGGCTAGAGCAGGATAAGAGCGAACAGCGAGACGCACGCGTAACTCGTCACCAGCGCGCCACGCTCGAACAGCCTGGAGGGTTCGGAAGTGCTTGGCCTCCGTCGTCTCCGCCGGCTGGGGCGCTAACTGTGACCGAACCTCTTCAGCGGCTTCAAACATCAGGTTCTTGATGCGGCCCAAACGGTCCCAGGGATTCAAATCCAAGGCGTAGAGGGCGGAAATCGCGGGATCCAGGATGTCCCGAAAGAGAGGGTGACGGACCAGCCACTTCGGGAGCTTTTTGGGGGCCTCCTGGGGCTTGAAGGTGCTGAGGGTCACAACCACGGGGATGTGGTCCGATGCCATGTTCGACTGTAGCCTTCCAAGTGTTTCCCCTCTGACAGTAAGATCTGCCTGCAGAGCAGGCGGCAGCGTGCAGTAAGCTCGATCAAGACGTGCAGTGTGAACAATCGTGCCCTCCCTGACCTCCCGCCTTGTGTCCCCGGATTGGTAAAATTCCGTCCGCTGTGCGCCGTGCCGAAAGAAAAGCTTCGTGTGCGAGTCATCTCCAGATGACCATCCATTGCCGTCCGCTCTCAAACGACCGTCAGCGGACAGCGCAAAGTTCCAGTCGCCCATCAGAACGGTAGTGCATGCCGTGGGAGAGGGGAGGGAGACGATGATGTCACGCAGTGCTCTTGCATAGATGGTGAGGAGGTCGCTAGTATTTGGCATGTGAACGTTTACGATGCAGAGGTCGCCATTGGGCCCCGAGAGGTAAGACTTCAGAATGCGCCCTTCAACGATGGGAGTTTGGACAATGGACGAGAACGATTTGCAGAAGGAAGGCTGGATCCAAGTGAGGACGCCCCCTTCACGAGTAGAGTCAGCGAATAGCGAGTGACCGGTCTCAAAACCTCGAAGCTCACACTGCAGCTCATTGATATCAGCAACTTGACCATGACACTCTTGCGCACAAAGAACAGTGAGCTGCTTTGCGTACTTGAGGAAACGTGCGTAACGAGCAGGGGCCTTGACACTCTGACTGCGAACCGCTGCAAAGAGAGCATGAGGTGTTCCAAGAACCGATCATAAGGGAGGAGGGGGGGGAAAAAGGGGAAGGGCCCGACAGATTAATTAAGAAGAGGCAGACCCTGGCTCGCAGCTTCCACAGACAGGGGCACCTGCACATGGAGGGCCGCACCCACAGCGAAGGGCACATCTTCAGCGCACGGAGCGCCGCTAGGAGCCAGGGGGCCAGGCGGATAAGCTTGCCCGACAGGGCTCGCAGCAAAGTTGCACAGCTCATGCTGCGACCAGGCAGCTGCGCCCATAGCCCTGGGCTCGCCTCGAGACTCCTCAGAGGGGAAGCGAAGCGTTCAGGTGGGCCACCCCATCCTTGATCTGATCAAGGAGAGGGGTGACAGAGGCGTGAAACTCCGCAAACTGTTCAGGCTCATACTGAAGTGCGACCGCAGGTTTCACTCCACTACTGTCGATGGAGACGTGGAAAAGGATGACGGGGCCCTCGGGAGCGCGAAGCACGTAGATGTCACCGCCGAGGCCGTTCGAGCCCATCTCCTTCTGAAGTGGCCGCATCGCTGCCGCCAAGAGCCCCCGAATCTTGCCCATGGCAAGGAAGGGGGGGCGAGTGCCAGGCTCCATGTCCCTCTTGGCGCGGAGCTCGATGGACTGGCCAGGGAAGACAGGGTCGGGGAAGTGGATCGGTTGCGCAGCTGCAATCTTGGTCAGAAAGGCCGATGCTTTCGTCGAATCTGCGAAGTCTAATGTCACTTTCTTAGCCATATCAAAGGCACGAACAACTGGCTGAGGTCGCCCTTGAGGGACGCCAGCTGGAAGAAATAAACCTGCCGCAGTACGAAGGGTAGCCTGCATCATCTTGCGGGGGAAGCCGACACTCACGATTCGATGCGCACGTTCCATGGCAGAAATTCGAGTCTCCGAAGATGGCTTGAGAGGCTTGGGGCTCTTCGTGATCTTGGAGAGTTGGTCCTCAATGGCACTGATCCCCTGCTGTGCTACGGAGGGCTGGGAGTCCATATCCATCCCACCACCACCTATGGGCGTTGGAGTGCTCTCACAATGACAAAGCCTGCCATGCATATTGTCGATCTGCTGCTGTAAGTCTTTCATCTGCAGGTCTGCGTGGGCAGATGACGACTGAACCTGGCTCGCGAGAGAGTTCATCTGGGTGGCAAGGTCCACGCAGCGCTTGTTGGATATCTCAACCTCCTGCTGGAGCTGGGCCATCTCCTGGTGCGAGGAGTGGACGGCGCCCGCAATATTCTTGATCGAGTCAAGGATGGAGTCAATTTTGCTTTCCATATTCTTCACGTTGGACTGGCGCGGGTAGACCTGGCGGAACCCATCATCATCACTGTCACCGTTCCGACTGAGACTTTGTGAGTGCCTGTCACTGCTGCCACTTGATGTGATACGGCGTCTCGACGGCGACGTGCTGGTGGGCCTCCTGCGCTCGTATGACGGGCTGCTGGAGGTGTTGCGCAGGGGGCTGGACGACAAACGCCCCTTCGCTGATTTCTTCTCCGCGCGGGTAGCCTTCGGATCCTTCTTCACACCCCTGGGAGCCATTGCGCCGATGCAGACTGAGCAGCACGAGTGTAAATATCACGGCGTGCTTTGGCGCACGACTGGAGAAGATTGCGAGGCCTAACCTCAAGACGCTCGGGCCAACCCCTTGGCAGCGTCCAAGTTCGAAGCGCCGGGGGAACGTTTCAAACTTGATCCAAAATGGCTACGGAAATATTTTTGTCAATTTTTCAATATTCCCCCTGTAGAGGGACAGGCCCGACTTCATCCTGCAGCGTGAACGTTCTCTTATTCGGCGTTCTGGCATTGGGCGGAAGAGGGGGAGAGGGGGGGGGAAATCTGGCTCCGGACCTCTGCTCAGTGCGACTGCTTGGAACCGTGCGTCCCCCGGGGGAAGCTCCACCTGCTTGGGACAGGCGCCAAAAACGGCCAAGATCTACTTCCCAGGGGGGGAGAGGGGGGGGTGCGAGGACTCGCGCCGATCGGCAAAGCAATGAATAAAAAACGATCCTCGATCCTCGTCGCATGCCAGTCAAGCCTGCTCCTCGATCCTCGAACACGGCGGATCCTCGAACCTGCTCGTCGATCCCCGCTCCCCGATCCCCGAACCTCGATCCCCGAGTCTCGATTTGGGACGCCCGACATGGGTACGGAAAAAATGGGTACAATGCCCAACAACAAATGTTGTCCCAAACCAACAGCGGCCGCTGTTGGGCAGGCGGCCTTCTGCTTCAAATGTACACAGGCCGCGCGACGCCGACAGCGAGTCCTGTTCAAACCTGTTCAAAATGAACCGGCACTACTGTTGGGCATCCCCCCCATTCTTTCCGTACCCATTTCGTCCGTGCCGATCCCCGATCCCCGAACCTCGATCCCCGAGCCTCGATCCTCGCCGCCTGCTCCTCCTCCCCCTCCTCCCTCCTCCTCCTCCCTCCCCCTCCCCCTCCCCCTCCCTCCTCCTCCTCCTCCCCTCCTCCTCCTCCTCCTCCTCCTCCTCCTCCTCCTCCTCCTCCTCCTCCTCCTCCTCCTCCTCCTCCTCCTCCTCCTCCTCCTCCTCCTCCTCCTCCTCCTCCTCCTCCTCCTCCTCCTCCTCCTCCTCCTCCTCCTCCTCCTCCTCCTCCTCCTCCTCCTCCTCCTCCTCCTCCTCCTCCTCCTCATCCTCCTCCTCCTCCTCCTCCTCCTCCTCCTCCCTCCTCCTCCTCCTCCTCCTCCTCCTCCTCCTCCTCCTCCTCCTCCTCCTCCTCCTCCTCCTCCTCCTCCTCCTCCTCCTCCTCCTCCTCCTCCTCCTCCTCCTCCTCCTCCTCCTCCTCCTCCCTCCTCCTCCTCCTCCTCCTCCATCCTCCTCCCCATCCTCCTCCTCCTCCCCGTCCGCAGCCACTCCGACCCGAGGCCCTCGGCAGCTCCGGGAGCGCCCGGCCCGCCTGCCCGCCCCGCCCCGCTGGGCCCGCTCGCCTGCTCGTCGATGGCGCGCGCCGCGGGGCCCGCCGAGAAGGCCGCGGCCGCCGCCGCCGCGGCGAGCCCCGGCGCCAGCAGAGCGGCGGCGAGCCGCGCGCGCCTGCCGCGGTGGGCACGCCGCGCGCCGCAGTGGCCGCCGCCGGCGGGCGGGCGGGCGGCGGGCGGCGGCGGCGGGGAGCAAGCGGGCTGCGGGCGACGGGCGGCGGCGGGGGCGGCGGACGGCGGGGGCGGCGAGGACCGCGGCGGCGGGGGCGGCGGACCACGAAGTGCGGACGACGGGCGGCGGGAGGGGGCGGCGACGACCGCGACGGTCGTCGTCGTCGTCGTCGTCGTCGTCGTCGTCGCGCCCGCAGCTGCCCGCCCCCCATCCCCCCCACTCGCCGTCCCCCCGCTCCCCCCACTTGAAGCGGCCCAGGGCACACAAATAAACACACGCGAATCCCAGGATTCCCTACATTGTCATATGTTTGCTGGATGTTCGTCTTCTCCCCCCCACTTCCCATTCTTTTCCATCGTTTCCCCGGAGTCGAAGATTATTTGCGTCTGTGTGGGTTTCCCCCTCCTACTTACGCAGGACGAAAGATTTCCCTCTTGAAGTTGAAGAGGACCACCCCCGTCCCCCGCAGAATGTTAACACGGGGGGGGGGCCTGCGGTCGCCGGATCCCATTCTTGTCGGCTCCCGGAGCGAATTTACATTATAAGCTCAAAACAAAGTCCAACGCGGATCCCGAATGTCAGAAATGGGATCCGCGCGCACGGAAATGGGATCCGCCGCGATTTCACGACGAAGAAGACCACCCCCGTCCCCCACAGAATCTTAACACGGGGGGGACCTGCGGTCGACGGATCCCATTCTTGTCGGCTCCCGGAGCGAATTTAAAAATATGAATTCACAACGGGGTAGAAATGAGATCCGCCGTGAAAAAATAGGGTCCGACACGGATCCCGAAAATCAGACATGGGATCCGCGCGCACGGAAATGGGATCCGCCGCGATTTCACGATTACGGTTAAATCGGACACGTGCGACCCTCATTGGGTTCGCCGCTGTGATTTCCCAGAGGGCCCGTGCACCGCGTGGGACCGTCAAGTTCAGCGCTAAGAGGGAACAACTTCCGGCCTGGGGATGGGCGTTTTTTGCATTCGACCTGACCTTTGCCGCATGCGGCACATCTCTTTTCTGCGGCTTCCGTTCGAAACTTCCTCGCGTGCTCTTGAGGACTGCCGTTCGAGACTTCCTCGCATGCGCTCGGCGCTTCCGAAGTTGCATCAGCCTTGGGCCACGCAGCATCCAGGCGGCCAGGATACACGCGTCCTCGTCGCACGCTTATTTTCGGGGTTCTCACTGTCGCAGGCCTTCCTTATCCTCCCCCGCGGGGGCCGGAGGATGACGAAATCGACGAGGGGCGAAAGGGGCGCCTCTCGAGAGGCACCTTTGCATGGCACGTTTGTCGATGCAGACCAGAAGAGACGGAGGGGGGGACCGTTTTGAAACTATTATGCCCTCCATCCGTGCTCGGCCGAACGCGGCGCCGAACGCCGCGCGGCGTGCCACCGCGCGGTGGGAACTTCAGGGGGCCCGTTGGGTCGGGAGAAGCAGGGCGCCGGCGCACTTACGCAGGACAGAAGATTCTCTTCTTGAAGTCGAAGAGGACCACCCCCGTGCCCCGCAGAATCTTCACACGGGCGGGGCCTGCGGTCGACGGATCCCATTCTTGTCGGCTCCCGGAACGAATTTGATAGTTCCCCAATCAGAGCTTGCCTCTGTAGGGGTCCTAGCGGATTCATATGGTTAGGTTACCTTTGTCGCCGATTTTCGCTGCACGCCCGGGTGCCTGGGTGCCCGGGGGTGCCCGAGGCCCGGGCACCCGCGGGGTGCCCGCGGGGTGCCCGGGTGCCCGGGTGCCCGGGCGTGCCCAGGGGTGCCCAGGGGTGCCCGATAGCCCTATAGCCCAATTGCCCTAAGCCCTATAGCCCTATAATAGCCCAATAGCCCTGCAACTCTATAGCCCTATAGCTCCATAGCCCTATAGCTCAATAGCCCTATAGCCATGATTGGGTTTTTCTCCGGTATCATATAAATTCAAAACGGGGTAGAAAAAGGATCCGCCGTGAAAAAATATTGTCCGACACGGATCCCGAAAATCAGACATTGGATCTGCGCGCACGGAAATGGGACCCGCCACGATTTCACGATTACGATAAGGTTGGAAATCGGACCCGCGCGACCCTCATTGGGTTCGCCGCTATGATTTCCCAAAGGGCCCGTGCACCGCGTGGACCGTCAAGTTCAGCGCCAAGAAGAAAAACTTTCGGCCTGGGGAAGTATTCCGGCCTGGTCGCGCAGCCTCCCGCTGGCCCTGGCAAGGGCTCCCAAGGCCCTAGACCAGGCCTCCTCGATCCTGGCCCACTCCTCCTCCTCCTCTGCCTGCTCTTCTTCGTCGGAGCTCTCGATCAAGACGAACCAGAACGAGGACGAAATCGGGTGAGGATCAATCGGGAATCTCTCTGAGATCTGGCGGCTCTGGTCTTGGGCGCCACGGCCTTCTCGCAACGCTCCGGAACGCTCTGAGAGCGTTCCGGAACCCTCTGACATGGTTTAACCTTAGGTCGGGCATGTTCTCCTACAGGCGGAATTTGCAGAAAACTAAACACTAGTATATATATATTATATATATATATATATATATATATATATATATATTATGTATATGTATGAAGATATGTGCATATGTAAACCCAAAACAATAGTAAACTCATCCCCTGACGAAGTTTCAACTATTTGTTTGATATTCCTCGTGTAGAAGGAGGGGCCCGACTTACGTTCATCCTCGTCCTGCAGCCCTCCCCAAGTTATGGATCTTGATCGACGCGCGAGTCGCGGCCCACGGAGTCTGTTCGAGGAGGGATGTAGCCTTAGGTCGGGCATGTCCCCCTACCCGAGGATATTGGGCGAACATTAAACAAAGGTGACAAGTATTCAAACATAGCAAACAACTGATAGAAACATCGTCCCCTGATTTGTTTTAAAACAAACAACTATTTTTGGATGCTCCTGCTGTTAAGGGACGCGCCCGACTTAAATGTAGCCCCGTCTGGTCGACTCCTTTGCTCCCTCTCTTCCAACTCCCTTCTGAGACTGGAGCTCGAGAGGGAAAACGTGTGCAACGGTTGAGAGGATTGCGGGAAGCTCTTTTTCAAGACGGTGGGTTCCCTGGACGCGTCCTTGAGATCTATGCTCCTACCTCTAGGCGTACCGTAGACCTAGAAAGATGTATGGCCTCTCTGTGTACATCGCTGTTGCCGCTGGCAAGGCGGGCTCACAGGACGCTCGTCTTTCCAGGAGGCACTTCCCGTAAAGACAGCGTGTGCTTGCGGAAACTTCTGCGGGGACTTGGGACGGGAGGGGAACGAAAAATGACACAAGCCGAAAACAACTCGGAGGTCCGCGCGGAGTTCTCGGATCGGCGCTGGACACCCCTCCCTGGCGCGCGGAGCGCGCCAGGGGCGGCGCCGGAGCGCGCCAGGGGCGGCGCCAGATGCGCCGCCAAGGGCGGCCCCAGCGGCGACCCCTGGTTTCGCCGACGGCTGGTTCGACCGGCTGGTTTCGCAGCCCGGCTAAACCAGCTCCGTCGGCGAAACCAGCTCCGTCGGTGAACCCAGCTGCTGTCGGCGAAACCAGCTGCCATCGGCGAAAGCAGCTGCCGTCGGCGAAGCTGCCCGACCCGACGCGCCCGCTAGGGTCCGCCCGCCCGCCCGACCCGCCCGTCAGGGTTTGCGCGTGTTCGGTCGAGCGCGCCCGGCAGTTGCAAGTCCCGCCCGACCCGACCCGCCCTGTAGGGTCCGCCCGCCCGACCCGACCCGCCCGCTAGGGTCCGCCCGCCCGACCCGACCCGCCCATTCGGGTTCGCGCGTGCTCGGTCGAGCGCGCCCCACACTTTAATGTCCCGCCCGCCCAACCCGCCCATCAGGGTCCGCCCGCCCGACCCGACCCCGCCCGCCCGACCCGACCCGCCCGTCAGGGTTCGCGCGTGCTCAGTCGACCGCGCCCCGCACTTTCATGCCCCGCCCGCCCGCCCAGCCCGCCCGTCAAGGTCCGCCTGCCCGACCCGCCTGCTAGGGTCCGCCCGGCCCGACCCGACCCGCCCAGCGACACCAGCCGCCGGCGAAACCAGCGGGGCGAAACCAGCGGGGTCAAACCAGCGCCGTCGAAACCAGCGCCAGCGAAACCAGCCGTCGTCGAAACCAGCGCCGGCGAAACCAGCGCCGGCGAAACCAGCTCTTGCCGCCCCAGCGCGGATCCGAGAAGTCCGCGCGGACCTCCGAATATTTATGTTTATGCCATCCTTCGTTCTCCGATGTCACCTGGGCTCAACTCTGGCACTCCTCCTCCTCTTCGGTTCCCCGAAACGGTGCGGTGACAGACCGTGCGGTGACCTCGACATCCACCAAGACCTCACCGCACGGCCCGTCAGCGCACGGTCTCGTGACCTCGGATGCCCCAGCCGCCCGAGACGTCCTCGGAGAACGGCCCGAGTCCCAAAAGCGTGCGGTGACCCCGCATCCTCACGGACGCACCACACGGTGTGGTCACCACCCCGTCTGCGGGCCCCCGATCCTCGGCGGCCTCCCCCCACTCCCCCGGGGGCGGGTACCTCGCCCCGCGGAGCTCCCTCGCCGCCGCTGCCATCGCGCCCCCCCAGCCAGGGCTGGCCAGGCCGCGGGCGGGGGCGGGGGCCCGCTCGTCGGGCCGCAAGCGGCTGCAGGCCTCTCGACGACGAGCGACCGGCTGGCTGACCTTTCCGTCGACGACGACGACGACGACGACCGACCGACCATCCTGCATCAGGGTCGGGGGCGGCCAAGAGGGGGGCGTCCAAGAAGGGGGGCGCAAATCTTGGCGGGCGGCATGTACGCGGCCCGGGGGGGGTGGGCCAGGGATGTATTGAAATCAGAGGGGGCGCCATCAACTCTGGAGAGATATCATGGCCCCCGCCGTGATCTGCACGCCCCCCTAGTCATCACCCCCTCTCGGCCGCCCCCGATCGGGGAGCAAGCAGCGACACAGACACGACAACTCGGAGGTCCGCGCGGATTCCT